TGATTTATTAGGATAATGTCAAAAGTCTTTTTTTACAATTCATGCCAAAAGTTTATTTTTTACAATTTAAATGATCTGTTAAGATAATGTCAAAAGTTTATTTTTTACAATTTAAATGATCTGTTAAGATAATGTCAAAAGTCTTTTTTTTACAATTCGCCAAAAGACCATTTTTTACAATCCAAAAAATCTTTTTGCAATTCATGCCAAAAGTCTATTTTTTACAATTTAAATGATAATGTCAAAGGTCTTTTTTACAATTTGCCAAAAGACCATTTTTTACAATTCACCAAAAGACCATTTTTTACAATTCAAAAAATCTTTTTACAATTAACGCCAAAAGTCTATTTTTTACAATTTAAATGATAATGTCAAAAGTCTTTTTTTACAATTCGCCAAAAGACCATTTTTTACAATTCAAAAAATCTTTTTACAATTAACTCCAAAAGTCTATTTAAATGATAATGTCAAAAGTCTTTTTTTACAATTCACCAAAAGACCATAAGTCTATTTTTTACAATTTAAATAATTTATTAGGATAATGTCAAGACTTCTTTTACAGACCATTTTTTACAACTCTTTTTACAAAGTCCATTTTTTAAAATTTAAAATGATTTGTGTCAAAAGCCTTTTTTTGCAATTTGCCAAAGGTCCATTTTTTAATACAATTCAAAAAAAACCATTTGCAATTCACCAAAAGACCATCTGTTAATATTAAATAATTAAATTTATTTGAGGTCAAAACCACTTCACCATATCGGGATATTTTAATATCCATTTTTTTGTCATTTTCATTTGCCTTCCTTCATTCCTATTGGTCAATTTAGTGATTGGCAAAACAAAAATAATTGCCAACATTAAATATGGACAATGACTAGATAGCATCTCATAGACTGTTTTCACATTAGGAAGTAATACCCTTAAAGAAAATTTTATATGTAGTGAAAATTTTCAAAGAAAATTAGTTTTGACAATAATATTTGTGTTACATATATTTTGGAACTGGTTCCAAGAACTGGTTCGAACGGTTTGGTTTGGTTCAGTTCTATTGGAACCGGTTCCATGGAACCAGAACCAAACTGCCCCATCCCTACTCAGAAGTAGTTTGATAAAAAAAATAAAGCATTGAAGGAGGATTACTAATTAAAAAATTTTAATAAAAATAGAAACTCATTACAACTACCGGCTGATGCCAGGCATAATCATAATGATTACCTTTACAAGCAAGAATTGTCACCAGACAGATGCCGGGTGTGAGCACACCTTGCTTGTACTTTTACCACAACCACCGGCTGATGCCAGGCACAGTGTAGTAGGGTTTGTAAAGGGAGGTTTCACTAGATGGTTTGAGTGAGATTGTCTCCTCTTCACACTTCCATGGGTCAACTACCGGCTGATGCCAGGAATAGTAGTCATGGGTATAAAGAGCAATAGTATTATTCATTTTCTTTTAGTCCAAAGATAGCTCAGAGAAGAATTTGTGATTCGGAGTGGAGTTGGGGCTCTGAATTTGTTATTATTGCATTTGTGCCTTTTCTTTTCAAAGAACCTGCTGACATTATGAAGAAAGTCATAAAATAGTGATAATTTTCTCATTAGAAACCAGCATTTAAAGTCAACTCTTGTTTTATTTTTTTTACAGTACAGTGTAGGCTTAAAGCTTCGTTTCTAAACATTTTATTGCTCAAGAAGACCTTGTTATTTAGTTGATGAAACCGCCTCAATAGTTAAATCAAGCGAATCAACTTGAGATTAAAAAAAAGGATTGCTGTGTATAAGTCTGCCGCAGCAATTATTTATAAGGTTCAGACTGTATAAAAATGAATAACCAACTTACCATCAAAGAACCACGTTTAAAAAGTACAAAATATTTCAATTATAAATATCCACCTCAAACCTTGGGATTACATAACTTTTTCATAGACGAACCATCATCTAAATGGTGCCTTGAAAATTTCGTTAATAGAGTAATAAAAAACAAAGAAACAGAACTCAATTTTGATCAAATTCAAGAACCTTTCTTAACCAACTTGGATCAAATTAATAATCTAAAGAGTACACCCCAAAGTGTTCATAGCTTTTGTGAAAACTATATTAACTGGTTACAGGTAAGCTAGATCTTTTGATATAATAATGTTACCATAATTAATCTGAATATCAATACCTACCTAAGATGTGGAAGGGAGGGCTGTTTCAAAAGCTTGTTGTGAGTTTTTTTAAGAAACTATTGAAAGAGAAAAATTAGTACTACAAAAGCAAAAGCAAAAAAAGATTCTTGAGGTGTGGTTTTATTTATTTTTTTTGGGAATTGATATGTTTTTTTTTCTTGAAAGATCAGAACATTTATGTTATTATTAGGAATATGTGAGCGAGAATGCTAAATTTCAGGCATTTGAGAGCAGTATGCAACTTCCAAGAAGGGAGGGGAGGAAAGTAACACCACCACCACCACTTCGGGAAAGCACCTCCGATGATGAAGAAGTACTTCTGACAACACCAAACAAGAGGATGTTGAAAAATGAAAACGTTAAATTGTAAGTTTTATTTTTAATTATCCATATCGAATCTGGTATCACATTTCTTTGATCAAATCAATTACTTGTTTTTAGGTATGTCGAGTCAATTCCCATTGTATGTGCATTTGGTGTAAATATATTCAAACTGGAAAGATTATTAGGGAAAGATTTAGCAAACTAAATCTCTGAGTATCAGGATAAAACACCTTCTATATGGACAAAAGAACTAGAGAATTATTTAGAATATGCATTGGATCTAAGTCTCACTAAGATCATTTAAATTATCATTTCCAAAATTTATATGTAATATCTATTGCTCTTATATAAAGCAAACAGGAAAACAATTCAAGATGGCAATACAGAATGAAATAGAAGGAGAATTGGCTAACAAGTTTAGGTTGTATATTGAAAAAGTTTTGATGGATTTGTAAGTATTGAGCTATTATTGATTGTATTTGGAGAATTACCTGTAATACTTTTTGTTACTCTTTTACAGTTATAATATAGTGGATCTTTTTCCAACACACATGATTACAATTGGGGAGCGAAAATTTATTGTATGTCATATCTCAGTTTTGTTCAAATTTTACGAATCAACATTTGGAACTTTGACATTTGACTGGATTGAATCTCATTCATAGGCTGCAAAAGTGACTAAATCATCAACAGATACTGGGATTGTAAAAGTAGATATAAAAGGTATATATATATATGTATTTAATAATAAGTATACTTAAGGATGAATTTTCTGATTTCAATATTTATATTCAATTCAACAAAAAAGGAACTCGGAATAGAGATGGAAATGATGTCTGGCACATGGTTGATTAATTATAATTTTGAATTTCCTTTCAAGAAAACCCCCCAAATTAATATCCCTAATCTTTTCTTCTTTTTATATTAATATATGGTATATTCAGGAAGTAGTAGGTCCACCAGGAAACCAAATAATAACTCACACTGTTGGTGACACCAAAAAAACATTGCATACTGATATTTTAATAACATACCTTTTTCTTTTATCATTTATTTTAGAAATCAATCAACATTATATGCCCTTAGCATCTTGGAAGATGGTAGGTTTCTGCCTTATAAGCTGGCATCTGCAGATTTGCCATTTGATTTCAATTCACATTCAAAGTACAAGGGAATATTATGGATGATGGCCAAGTTTCATGTAAGTGAATAATATGAGTGTTATATGTTTCAAAGTATATAATAACCTCTTTGCTATCTTTAGGATGAAATGATTCAACAAATGGCTATTTTAGACAAAATTGATCGTTTACTTATTACATGTAAAGGCAAAACAGTACATGATATTTTGAGAATTCCAACTAACTTATGTAGTATATAATGGATATTTCATGAATAAAACAATTTGAATTTCTTATATTCCAATTTTTATCATGCATAAATTTTCCCTTATAAATATGTTATAATCTCTAAGATTAATAATATATAAGTGCATATGATCCTCATTATTAGACAACTCTTGCAATCAATATTATCTATAGAACAGAAGTATTATTTATAATGGGTATTTTTGTAATTCACAGAATATGTATACATTATCAGCAACTCTAGACTAATCAAAATATATAAGTTGTACATGCTTTCCCCTCATTTTTACATTTTTGTATGGCAATCACTAAATAATTATATATTTACAGAGGGATTAACACCAATTTTGATCCCTGAAATTATTGGTAATACCAATGTTCACTTTGTCTGGTTTTGTTACAGTATGCCCCATATATGAATACAAAGTCAAAATTTGACTTTAAGGCTGAGATTATTTTCGGTTTTATTAACAACTTGCTTCAAAAAATTTTTTAAAGCAGAAAGAAGTTATATATCAAATTTGGTGGCAATTGCTACACAGCAAGGGTATCGAAGACATTCCATTCGAAATATCATGCTCTATAATTTTAATCTATTTTTATTTTTAGTGTAACTAGCTATATATATTTTGGAATTTTCAAGATGAAAAATATTTCTTTCACTAGAACAAATAATCATTGTTTGTTGTTTTCAAACCTTTTAAATTCAATTTTACCATCATTCTCAAAATCCCTTAATAATAAAAATTTTTTTTCACATTCACATTCTACATTGATCAAAAATGGGTTATCATCATCTTCATTATCCAATAATTCACTCGCTATTACTTGGCCAGACACTTCTTTCACTTCTAAATACAACTATATCTGGTTACGTGATAATTGTCAATGTTCTCAATGTGTTCACCCTAACAGTGGACAAAAGTTGTTTTCCACTGCAAATATTCCACTTGATATCAAACCATTATCAATTAATTTCATGGAGGATTCAGTTGAAGTTGCTTGGGATAAACCATTGTTACTATCATTAAATACAAAAGGATCACAAAAATCAGATTCTTTGTTCATGTCATCAATTAAATCTCATAAAAGCATCTATTCATTAAACTTTTTAAAAGCTTTTAGTGTAGTGCCATCTTCTTCTTCACTCTCAATTGATTCCACAACCAGACTTACAAATGATATCACAAAAATCAATACAAGTAATCCATTTCTCCCTCGTCA